TCCAATGTCCGCAGCGTACGAGCGCGGCCACCCCCGCGCGGCGCTGAGCGTGCACACGTTCTCGTCGGAGTTGGACGCACGCGACGCACACATCTACGCGCGTCCGCCGCTACCCACTGTATGTATGCACTGCTACTTTTTACTACTGTTTTTTTTCGTTATTTTATGTTCTTATTGTTTTTCTTTTTTTGTTCTTGTTTTTCAATGTTTATTTTGTGTGTTAATATTCGGTGGTCCATGTCTAGTGGCGAATTAATTATTTTTCTTTCTTTCTTCTATTTGTGCTATCTACGTACCTGTCTATAGATTTTTGATAAAAACGTTCTAATACTATACTCACTTTTTGTTTTTAAGTCTCTTATAATAAATAGCATACCTACCAGTTATATTGACAAAATAGACTAGACTTAAAAATCGAAAATTAATCCAACAAGAGTTTGATGTGACACGATTGTGATAACTACCCATAATTTCTCATAACTGATAGGTGAATTAGCTAAAATCGCGGGTTAATCACGTGAATACACTGACAAAAATTCTACTACGCATGAGCAGCGTCCGCGGTCGCGCTGATGTCGCGCAGCTCATAAGGAAGAACCCCTCTGTGGTTCGAAACTAGTAGAGCTTTCTCAGTATATTCACGGGAGTAACCCGCGATTTTACTTAATTTAGTATGTCTCACGATAATTATTATAAAAACTAATAGGTAATGACAACTGGCGACTGCCGCAAGGGGTCTCGGGTTCGATTCCCGTGTCGGGCAAAGTATTACTGGGTTTTTATCTCAGTAGTAGCACGGAGTATAGACTATATGTGCCCGGTATATGGCAATAGGCTTACCCCCTATTTCATGGGACTCCATAACATAAATAGTGAAAAGTGGGTGTTATATTGTAGAGTGGCATTACGTGCCGTAATGTGCACCTCTGTCTACCCATTCGGGAATAAAAGGCGTGATGTTATGTGATGTCAAGAGCCATCTATGTTACTAAAAGTTTGTTCTCGATTTCATTTACAAAAGGTAGGATGACGTCTGGTGTTTGAATCTACAAAAGTTGTAGGAATGAGAAATTCTTGCTATCCTTACTAATACATGGGAAAGTGACTTTGTTTGTTTGTTCCGCTTTCACGCCGTAACTTCTAAACCGATTGCTTTGAATTTTTGCAGGTGTATAGTTAGAAGTCCGGAATAAATAAGAGGGTACTTTTTATACCGGAAAATTTTCATATTCCCGAGAGAAAACAAAAGAATTGGTATAGTTGGAGCTGTGTGTTTTGATATATGTCACATAGGTTACTTTTATCAATTTGTGACGCGAGCGAAGCCGCGGGTAAAAGCTAGTTATTAATAATTAATTTAATATCTACAGCGATGTTCCTCCCTGGAGCGTCCAGCAGTCCCCAACAAGTCCGGGAACGCCAACACTTGCCAACAAGAGTTCAAGCCGAGCAAACCATCCTCACTACCACCGCATCTTACTAAAGGTAAACTATATTATGTACTTTAAATATACAGCGTAAAATCAACTTTATTATGTGGGATGTAGAACTCATTTTGTGTTATTTCTGTTTGCGATTAAGAAAGTGGTAATTAGATATTGTATTCTGACTATTATTGGTCTAATTTGTGCCATTTTTGCCCCGAATTAGAAAATAATTTGTTTAAACTTCGAACTGTTTAAATTCTGAAGATGTTCTTTATTGAGACAAAGTTCAGTAGGTTCATTACAAAAATGACTCAAAAAATTCATGTTTGACAATATCTGCGACAATTTTAATAGCAATACCAAATATATGTTTTGCTATAAGCTAAATTAAAGTTGATTATTTTACTATAATGTTGGGAATACTTAATTATTAACTTTGACACCATGGTTGGTGCGATGGCTGGGCAACCGGCAGCCGCGTATCGTGTAGCGGGTTCAATTCCCGCACGGAGCAACTCTTTGTATGATACAACAATGATGGTTCCGGGTCTGGGTGTCATGTGTATGTGAACTTGTATGTTTGTAAACGCACCCACGACACAGGAGATAATCCTAGTGTGGGGCAACGATTTAAAAAAAAGCAAAAGTACACAGTATATTTATTTTTCCATTATATTTGTGTAGAGATGCCACAAGCCCTGTACGTGAACATGTCGGAGCTGGCCACGCTGGCCGCGTCCCGCGCCCAGCTGCACAACGCCGACCACCCACCGCAAGAGAAGGTCGGTACATACTATGACTAATCTATACTTGTTGATGTAAGGAAAAAATTTGAAAGAGATATTCGACGCTCCAACCACCAAATATTTGGACGAGATTACGGACGGATTTTTGACGTCTCAATGTGCTTAATTAAGGATTAATTTGCGATTTTAAATGTGTAAATAATAATTGTGAAGTTTCGAACATTCAATTCATCTTCAGCATGCATAATATTGCTATGTGCCACTTCGAACTTCCTACTACCGTAGCAAAATTGTGTGACACAAAAAATATATTTCACCAGAAAAATCAGGGATTGCCTCATTGACCGAGTAGTCGCAAGTGGGACAAGGGGGTAAGGGGTCTCGGGTTCGATTCCCGGGTCGGCCAAAGTATGACGGTTTTTTTTTTAAATCTTAGTGGTAGGACGGAGTCTATATCTGTGTCTTATATATGTCTATAGGCTCATCCCCTATTACATGGGTTTCATGACATAAATAGTGACATGTGAGTGTTACATTGTACAGTGGCATTAAGTGTCGTAATGTACACCTATGCCTACCATACCACTTCGGGGATACAAGGCTCATTGTTATACATGTATTTGAAAATCAGGAAATTTACACCTGTACAAAGTAAAGCCAGGATATGTAGGTAGTGACCTAGTGAGTAATATTATAGAGGTAGAATGTGGTTGACTAAAACTACAATGTTATTTAACATCACACTGTATTGTAAATAATTTACAAAATTAATACATCAGTCAAAGTATTAAAAATAAATAATTAGCAATTAAATACTGATTTGCATGTCTCTTCTTAAAAATAACTTATGACTACTTTATGTATATCAATACATAGTATAAAACAAAGTCGCTTTCGCTGTATGTCCGTATGTATGCTTAGATCTTTAAAACTACGCAACGGATTTTGATGCGGTTTTTTTAATAGATAGAGTGATTCTTAAGGAAGGTTTATATCATGCATATTGCACCCGTGCGAAGCCGGGGCGGGTCGCTAGTCTATATATATAAAAATGAAACCCGTTTCCCGTTGTCACGCCATAACTTGAAAATGGCTGTTGTATTTATTATTGTCAGGAGAAGGTTCTTATGATAGAAAAAAAAATCCTGAAAATCATATGGGAACGGGAGAAAAGGGATTGCGCGTACGCAGTCGCGGGCAGAAGGTAGTCTATAATAATAATAATAAATGTAGTACAAAAAATAATATTTAGTATTTAATTAAATTCCTACCTTAAGAACGGGTGAACCCATTTTCATAATAGTTGGTTATTTGGATCCATTTGCGTTTGAAACAGAAAACCCATTTACGACTGCGCTGTATATGCGCTAGTGTGAAGGAGTAATAAATAGGATTGAAAATAACAAAAGGCGGTTGATAATGAATTATTCTTCATAAAACTCTTTTAAGGTTTTATTAAATGAGAGCTAATTTGTCTCATATTTGGTATTAGGGTTGATAACAAGAACAAGGGGTTTACTCTTGAATCCAATTCCGATCGATCGACATTGGTATTGTGAAATTTCGTACTCTTGAGTTGCACCCGTATTGCGTGGATATTGAATGAACGAAATGGTATTGAGTTTGGTTTTATATTCTGCACTCTGAATGTTATCTTAACAGCTTTTTTTTTTAATGGCATAAGCTGGTAAATGAGCAGACGGATCACCTGATGGTAAGCAATCGGCGTCGCCCATGGACACCTGGACCACCAGAGGCATTTTGGGGATTAGAAGTTTAACGATCGTTGGGTATTCAGGGATTGGGGAGATTGGGGAAGAGGAGGGTAATTGGGCCTCCGGTAACCTCACCCACACGGAGAAACACAACGCAAGCGTTGCTTCAAGTCGGTTTTCTGTGAGGCCGTGGTATCACTTCGGTCGAGCCGGCCCATTCGTGCCGAAGCATGACTCTCCCACACTTAAGCTACAGTTGGGGTTGTATAGTTTTAACATTGAATAATTATTGGTAACCTGGGTGTCTTTGAGGCCCGAGTGAATAGGTTGCTTATGGGTCGACTTGCTCCATCGTAGGCCGCATAAGGTCTTACCACCAGACGAAATACTGGTCACGACGTTTGACCCATCAAATATTAAAAAAAATGACATTGCATTGACATTCAGATTGGTTTCAAGCGTTAGCTCCCAGAGATTTGTGCATTGCCATTCTTTCACAGCAATAAATATTTTCATCCCTAATTAATATGTATTTAAACTGAATTTTGACTGGCTAATAAATATTAAACTGTCAAACACCAAGCGGTCACCGGTGACCGCAACCTATTGTTCTATAATTGTGTCTACAAAACGGTACTCGACGAGTTAATAGTAACTTTTAATCTTATATCTAATCCTTATTATATTTAGGGTCGATTTTTCAATCGTCAGTTAATTGGTAACTGTAGAATAAAATTGATATTCGACAGTTTTTAGTATGGAATAATTATCAAATACATACATAACATCACGCCTTTTATTCCCGATGGGGTAGGCAGAGGTGCACATTATGCCACTGTACAATGTAACACCCACTTTTCACTATTTATGTTATGAGGCCCATGTAATAGGGGGTGAGCCTATTGCCATATACCGGGCACAATTCAGGACTCCGTGTTAGTACTGAGAATTAAAAAAAACCCATTATAATTTGCCCGACCTGGGAATCGAACTCAAGACCCCTTGCCCGGTAGTCGCACTTGCAACCACTCGGCCAACGAGGCAGTCAAAGTTATCTCTCAGTTAAACTGTCAAACACCAAGCGGTCACCGGTGACCGCAACCTATTGTTCTATAATTGTGTCTACAAAACCGGTACTCGACGAGTTAAAAGATATCTGGCGTTGGAAAAATCGGCCCTTATTACATTTTCACTCTATGTTATTCAGTATAAGTAAAAGTGTTATAATTATCTTAAAGTTAGTGTAAGTTAAACATTCTCATATTTGTAGTTTTGTCTAAGTAAAACATTGGTCGATTTTCACGCCTCTGTCGGGTGGTTCTGTAATAAAAAATATCTAATATTATAAGTTCTGAAAGACTACATCGGAAGTTCAAAATGCGTACTTATTATTTTTACCGACTTCAAAAAAAGGAGGAGGTACTATGTTCGGCTGATTGTTTTTTTTTTTTTTTTGTTTGTTCGCGCAGTACTCCGCCATTTGTGAACCGATTTCTAAAATTCTTGTTTTGTTTGAAAGGGTATACTCCCGAGATGGTCCCATTTCCATGAGGTCAGGATCTGATGATGGGATCCTAGGGAAACCGAGGGGAACTTTCGAAAATTCTATGGGCGAGTAATGCGTCTATTTTTTAGTTTTGACTTTTTGTTTGTTATTAGTTTTTGGTTTTATTGATCAAAATTAATAAAGAAACTCTCAATCGATAGTTTGTAGATTGACATCGATTTTCGACTTTATATGTAAGTATAGATTTTTTTTATGGCATAAGCCGGTAAAGAACAGACGGATCACCTGATGGAAAGCAATCGGCGTCGCTCATGGACACCTGGAACACCAGAGGCGTTACAAGTGCGTTACCGGCCATTTGGGGATTAGGAGTTTGAGGATCGTTGGGGATTCAGGGATTGGGGAGATTGGGGAAGAGGGGGGTAATTGGGCCTCCGGTAACCTCACTCACGCGACGAAACACAACGCAAGCGTTACTTCACGTCGGTTTTCTGTGAGGCCGTGGTATCACTCCGGTCGAGCCGGCCCATTCGTGCCGAAGCATGGCTCTCCCACAATTTTTGTCAAAATCTGTATATTTCGACCGCGAATTCTCATTTAAAATGGCTGGAAAGTCGCAGCAGTAACTTATGTATATATACATATGTAGTATATAATCATTTATTTAACGGATACTCAACGTTATTCTCTTTTAATTAAAGTCAAAAATCAATTGAAAACTACAATCGTAAAGATTTACTTAAAAAAATGAAAATGACTGATCCTTACAGTTTTTCCCAGTTGAATTTGTTAGCGAGTTCCTCAGATATCTGTCCCTCCTTCAACTGTTTCTTGACGACCCTCTCAACTAGGCGGAGTGAGGAGAACATGTTCTGAACGCTAGAGGGCTGACGGTTGCGGGAGGTGGTCTGGAATTAGAATTATACAGTTTATATAATTATGCAATACCTCGTTGACCGAGTGGTTGCGAGTCCGACTACAAGGGATCTCGGGTTCGATTCCCGGGTCGGGCAAAGTATTACTGGGTTTTATTCAAAAAAATATCAGTAGTAGCACGGAGTCTGGAATTGTGCCCGGTATATGGCAATAGGCTCACTCCCTATTACACGGGACTCATAAATAACATAAGATAGTGAAATGTGGGTGGTACATTGTCTGCCTACCCCTTCGGGGATTAAAGGCGTGAAGTATGTTATGTATGTAATGTTAGACTAAGTGTCGGTTTTCGGGCAAATTGCTTGGAGATTATAATGTAATTATGTAGGTATTTATATTGGTAACGACTGTTCCTTTTTGGAAAATGACTCAAACAAAAGTATATAGAGCGTTTAAAGTTAACAAAGAAAAGGTTTTTCGTCCTCTGTCTTAAAGTTATTTTTTATGGGATAAGCCGGATACAATTTGATAAAGGACTTCTAACCTATCAGTGGGTGTGGAACCTATAAGTGCGTGTTGTCAGTAGTAGTTACTTTTTGCTCTTTAGTTTTTACTTTTTGTTTGTTTTTAGATTTTTGAAGTCGGTTTTTTTCCTTTTTAGTTTTAATGTTTCGTTCGTTTTATTTCATATGCCGACAACAAAAACGATTACCTTTCAACCTCTTTCTTATCGGCTCTCATGCTATGGACCACTGCTCCCAATTACAACAATATTTTATTTACCTTTCATAACGATTAGTTGGCGTCGTATACCGAACAGTTTCAAGGTATTTTGCTTTGATAAGAGTTTTAACTGCCATGAAGTCGGTACGTACTACCGAGTATCGTACTACGCATACAATAACTTACTTCGGTATTTACAAAATCTAGATTCGTAAATGTGAAATCAAGGTTCGTTATTTTTATGAAACCTTCTTCTTATGCAGCTGAACTGATTTCTTCCGAGGTTAATTGAGTAGTTAACTGGGTACGAAAATTAAAAATCTAATTAGTTTTTAAGTGTGGTAGAGCCATGCTTCGGCATGAATGGGCCGGCTCGACTAGAGTGATACCACGGCCGAGCAGAAAACCGACGTGAAACAATGCTTGTGTCATGTGAGTGAGGTTACCGGGGGCCCGATTACAAAAAAAATATCAAATTGCCCTATTAGCGAGTGTGTCGTAAGAGGAGACTAAGGGTCTACATACATGTTTGACAGTGACGGGATATCGGAGCTCTTTTGTAAACCTAACCAGGGGGCTTACTCTTGAATCCAATTCCGACGGATCGACATTAGTCATTGTGTCGTACTCTCGAGTTGCAACACTAGTGCCCATTGCATCCGTATTGCGTGAATATTTAATGAACTGAATGGTTTTGAGTTTGGCTTTATATTTCGGACTCTGAATGCTATTTTAACAGCTACGATATGGGGTTGTATAGTTTTGATATTGTATCATTATTGAGATTTTATTGTATTGAAATTGCATTGACATTGAGATTGGTTTCACGAGTAAGCAAGAGTAAGTAAGCCTTTCACGTTTAGAGGTTACGGCAAAACTCTCTTATGTCGTGATAAGCCATAGTTAGCTGCGGAATGTCACAAGTTGTAAGTAATATAACTCCCACTTTGCCCAATCTTAGAATCGAACCCCAGGCTCCCTGCTCGTTAGTCAAACTTGCGACCAAGTGGTAATAGCATTAGGTACAATTCTATAAACTCACCATAATCTCCACAGCATCAAACAGCTTATTCATCTCCTTTTTCTCCCTCTCAGTAAGAGCCGGATCCTCCCAATTGAAGATCTCACTCTCTTTTAGTTTAGTCTTGATCTTCTCCAACGTTATTGGTGGTTCTTGATCATGGATCTCTCCGGATTTGTAAGCTGCCTTCATTTCCATTTGTGTGTCTTCTATTGGACTGTAATGTGAACGGATTAGAAGTTAGTTCATGGATTTGCTAGTCTGTGCTTCCTGAAGGGCATATAATCTTGTTATCTTCAAGGCCCGAGTGAATAGGTTGCTTGTAGGCAGACTTGCTCCATCGTAGACCGCATCATTGCTTATCATCAGGTGAGATTGTGGCCAATTGTTATGCTTGATCTAAAACCCAACACATTTATGTTAGCTTGTAGTACCTATTCATTATTGATATTATAAGTCTTTAATATCAACGCATTATCGTAATGAAATCAATTTACGCAAGTGTGATAATCGATTCCATTTCGTGATTCTTATATGAAAACAACTAGTGAAGTTGTTTATGAAACATTACATAACTTTAAGACTGTTTTCGAAGGGGTAAGTAGAGATGCACACTGTTAAAGTGACACCAAAATACGAAATCTAATTGTAGACCGTGTTATTGGACACTCATCATCATTATCGACAGCCAAAAGACGTCCAATTCTAGACAAAGGCCTCCCTCTTAGTCCTTCACGTTGAACGACAATTCGCCACCCGCATCCACTGGCTCCCCGCAACTCTGGCGATGTCGTCGGTCCACCTAGTGGGAGGCCAGTCTCCATTCTAGAACTTTCTTGGCCCATCTGCCGTCAGTCCGTCTAACGACGTGGCCTGCCCATTGCCACTTAATTCCATTTATTACTGGTACTAGTAAATTTTCGACTCTAGAATCTAATCTCCTGATCGGTAGTCGCATATACTTACAACGTTATTTCTTTTTTTGTAGTAGGTACTGTCGGTAGCAACAAATTTCACAGTTTCTCACAGACTTGTATAGTCTATTTGTAAACTACATATTATTAACTCGTCGAGTACCGTCATTATAGACACAATTATAGAACAATAGGTTGCGCGGTCACCGGTGACCGCTTGGTGTTTGACAGTTTAAATTGAATTTATAAGTGACTCACCATGAATAACAATGTGGAATGTTTACCGCGATCCTGGAAATAAATTGGTATTTGAGTTAGTTTTAATAGGTAAATTACCTTTCTCCTATAATATTATGTCTTTCCGGTTATGACTTCGCCTTTGTGGAATTTGAACTTTGAACGTTCGAGAATCATGTTTTGATTTGACACGAATGGTTTGATGACACGAAGTGGAATTTATTAAATATTTATACATTTATTAATGAAATTCTTTTATTCTTTTTTTTTAATTATATTAATAGTAATCTAACAAAACGCCCTTCCACTCTCTGTTGCTGTGCCCGACAGGGTTACTCTTGTATTTTCTAACCACCTGTATATGTACATTATGGATGCAATAAATACTTTTTTTTTTTATAATATTAAAGATTATTTCTCCACGGACTCTAGGTCCGTGCCCTTGTCATACAGTTTTTTAATTATAATACATCTAGTCAATATTTATAAAGTAAAGAGGGAACCTAGTTACATACTACAATTAACTACATCTATAATTATTAGCAAATTGCAATAAATACTTGATTACTTGGTTTAGCTCGACCGGAGTGATACCATGGTGTCACAGAAAACCCTGATGTGAAACAATCGAAGCGTTATGTTGTGCTAGTTAAAAATAAACTACGACTGAACACTACATAGTATAAAACAAAGTCGCTATCCACCGTCTGTCTGTCCCTATGTATGCTTAGATCTTTAAAACTACGCAACGGATTTTGATGCGGTCTTTCTTAATAGATAGAGTGATTCTTAAGGAAGGTTTATATGTATAATACACGCATATTGCACCCGTGTGAAGCCGGGGCGCATAAGAGAAAAGTTTTCTTATTTATCGTCACTTATATTAAAGTCGGAGGTAATCGTGTTTTTCGGGCTATCGTATCAAAAAAACAAATAAAAATAATAAAAAAAGAAAAGAAAGTTATCGAATGAATAAGCTAAATCATCATCATCATCATAATTATCAGCCATAGGACGTCCACTGCTGAACATAAGCCTCACTCAATAACTTTCAGATAGCCCGGTTGGTACTTGGAAGCGACCTGCATTAAAAGTTAGGCTTAATAAGTCAAATTCTTTATTAGAATTATTTATCAAAATCCACATTGAGGTGCAAAAAATCAGCGTTGAATTTCGAAATTAATTTTAATCATTTAAATTTTTTGATGCGTTCAGCTGGTTATTTAAGGTTTAATGTTTTTAGTTATTTATTATAATAATTTTAGTTTAATTATATAGGTATATATATAATGTAAATATTGAAATCATGTTTCAATCTGTATCAATGTAATAATTTTATTATTAGGTAGCTATAATATTCAAATAGAAGTTAATGTGTATCCAATCGTTCAAGTATATGGTATTTATAAAAAGTATTATTAGATATTAGAACAATAATAATTACTAGCTGTTGCCCCCGACTTCGTCCGCGTAGAATACGGTTCCTGTTAAAGGTATCCGATAAGGTGATAACCTAAGTCAGCCCATACCCGGCTTATATACTAATTTTCATCAAAATCCGTACAGTAGTTTCAGCGTGATTTTAAGGGCGCAAAATCATTCAATGACTTCTCCCGTCCGGCTGAGGTCGGAGGGAGTGTCAGACTCTTACTGACTAAAAACTGGGGGCAAGAATCCGACCTCCCTCCATCATCGTATAAGAAACAACGTCACACAAAACTGAGTGGAACTATACACAAACATGAAACTGTAAACTAAAGATTGTTTGACAAATCATCTGAGTTCGGGCAAAAAGAATCGCGTCCGTTGCCGCTATGGGAATATTATCGCAATTCAGATAATTGTTTTGTGTTTCTGCGGATTATTTCATAACATTTTTGTCAGTTTTCATTTCCTGAAAGATCGAGATCGAAATGATACTAAATATTATGTACCTTAGTACTTGGCGATGAATATTGGAAATTGGCACATTTATATATATATGCAATGGTTCTTGATAAGTTATTGAGAAAAATACTTTAGGTTTATTTAAAGCTTCAAAGGGATGATTAATATCTTAAGATTTATATCGTAAACGAATGGAATACTTCGAAAAATATGCAAATTTCTAAAAGATAATGTTGTATTCTTAATGGAATACATCTAAACTATTTATTAAATCACAGGTACTAATACATCACACTAATATTATATATCCTTACTTCCTTACTAATATTATAAATCGGAAAGTGAGTTTGTTTGTTTGTTTGTTTGTTCCGCTTTCACGCCGTAACTACTTAACCGATTGTTTTGAATTTTTGCAGAAGTAATGTTAGAAGTCCGGATTAAATTATAGGGTCCTTTGTATCCCGGAAAAAATTGATATTCCCGAGGGAAAAACAAAAGCATTAGTATAGATAGCGCTGTGTGTATTGGTATATGTCACATAGGCTACTTTTCATCCTTTTGTGACGCGAGCGAAGCCGCGGGTAAAAGCTAGTATTATATAAATGTGAAAGTTTATTTGTTTAAATATTTGTCCGTCAATCACGCTGAAACTGCCGATATCGAGCCTCGTAGGACTTAACGGATTGCCGGGGCTCCGGCTCGACGTGCAGGAGAAGGAACGGGGTGGTTTTTAGTCAATAAGAGTCTGACACTCCCTCCCGCCTCACCCAGGCGGAAGCAGTCATTCAATGAATTACCCCCTTCAAAAAACTGCTTATTGCTTACTAGCGGTTTCATATATTTATCAGGACATTGGGTATTTGCCAACTAGTCAAATCAATACTTTTTTCGAACTGTCAAAAACGGCAGTTTTCTATGAATTTTGTACGAGATTGTGTATTGTGACGTCATTGTTTTTTTAGCGTCAAACGGCATACTTATTTCTTAAAAATAGTAGAATTAAGTTGATCATAAAATTAATTAAAAAAAGTGTGATTATTTTTTATATTTATTGTATTGTACAGACGAAATAATTTACCGGGAGATTGTTTGCCGTGCCCTCATGTCGTACCGTAGCACGTGCTAAAGCACCGATTCCTCGCACTCTGGCCGCGCTCAATGGTCTCTTGGATTCCAATCCAACTAGTGATCTGTTTGCGGACGGATGGAAGAAAATTTTATCGGAATGCCTGAAGTACTGCGAGAGGAACTTATGAATGCTACCATTTTTTAAATAAGTTTTACTCTTCTGGTTCGTTGTGTATGTTTTGTTCTAGTTTTATTATTTCATCGTTTATTTTATTAATGTGTCCAGTTACTTTAATTGGTTTTTTTTATCAACCGTTGTGACTGTAAAATAAATAAATAAATAAAATAAAAATAAATTACATATTTTTGATTAACCAACCGAGACACAATGTGTTGTCTATTGTGTCTCATATGCCGGCAGATAAGAAGTTAAGGTATGTACCCAATTAATGCAGTGTATGTTGTATATTCTAAACTAAAATCTATCTCTGTGCTAAGCTTCATTCAAATCCGTTCAGTAGTTTTAGCCTGAATGAGTAACAAAACACAAGCATCTTCACAAGGTTTCGCGATTATTATAATACTAGCTTTTACCCGCGGCTTCGCTCGCGTCACAAAAGGATGAAAAGTAGCCTATGTGACATATAGCAATACACACAGCGCCATCTATACCAATACTTTTGTTTTCCCTCGGGAATATCAATTTTTTCCGGGATATAAAGTACCCTATAATTTAATCCGGACTTCTAACTTTACGTCTGCAAAAATGCAAAGCAATCGGTTTAGTAGTTACGGCGTGAAAGCGGAACAAACAAACAAACTCACTTTCCGATTTATAATATTAGTAAGGAAGTAAGGATAGTAAGGATAGTTAATCGTTTGTCAGTGGTGTCTAAATAATCTTAGAAAGTACGTCATATAACTCGGAAAAAGCCACATTGGTACTTGCCGTTGGTAGGTTTCGAATCCACACCCTCATAAATAAAAAGCGGTCGTCTTAACCTCTGGGCTACCACGACTACCAAATGCCGTAACTAGAGGGTGGCAAATAGACAAAATGCCACGAACCCCCAGCTGCAAGGGTTCCGCGTTCATAAGTTTTCATCCGAACTTCATACATACATAACATCACGCCTTTTATCCCCGAAGGGGTAGGCAGAAGTGCACATAACGGCACTTAATACCACTTTACAATGTAACACCCTATTTTCACTTTTTATGTTATGAGTACCATGTAATAGGAGGTGAGCCTATTGCTATATACCGGGCATAATTACAGACACTGTGCTACTACTGAGATTTTTTTGAAAAACCCCTGTAATACTTTACTCGACCCTGGAATCGAACCCGAGATCCCTTGCCCGGCAGTCGCACTTGCCATACGAGGCAGTCTCCGAAGTTCTCTGTTTTTTATTGAGACCCATCCGATAAATGACAATGCCAGATCCTGACCCAGTCATAATATCATTTACAAAAAAAGTAAATTGATGAAAATAATTTTGACGAATAAGGAACCTTTTCACAATATCTCTTTTTATTTTTAAACCTGCGGTTTGCAATCTAATAAAAAAAGAAGTTCAATCCCGGAAATACTTTTTTGCAATGCGTCTTCCATATTGTCTAATGACTATTTGCGTTACATCATACGCATCGCTTGTACGAAACTATGAAAATAAAAAAGTAAGTAATTGTAAAAAAGATATCATTATACATAAAATATTATATCAAAAGTATAATTATGTATGCCATTTATTTATTTATTAATAATTACTGATGAAATCACGAAAATATAAAAGAAACTATTACTATCATTGGTTATGATTTTTTTGTGTAACGAAACGTTTTGAAGCGCTTATCAGTTGTCAGCTGTCAGTGTCAATGTTATCTTTCATTCGCTCTCTGCGTTTCCGTTGTTTTCGCGTTATTTATCATTATTTTTTTGTGTTTTAAACAAAAACCGCAAGTTTTACAGGTTTCAGGACAAATGTTTAGGTATCGGTAATTAATACACTACACGATGCTGAATACTGCATACTTGTACGTGACTTCTAATATAGTGGGTCAAAGATGTACTGAGCACCTGGCTGTCCTTTGCCACGGGCTCCGAACGGTACCAACAGTCACGCTACTATATCCTCTCGCGTGTTCATATGATACACACGGGTGTACGAGAAACGCGCACCGATTGGATATTTTTTCTGTGACGTATATTTTCAAGTTTGCAACCCGTTCTTTATTTGATTGAACAGAATAGTTAATTCACTTTACTATTAAAATATTTACCCGTGTGTACGATAACGCGCATTTACCTGTGTTTACGAGAGGCGCGTGAGAGGATATAGTTGTAGAACCTAATAACAAGATTCAAATTCATACTCACAAAACGTTAATCAGTACTTTAAAAGTCACAGTCACCATTTTTAATTCTCAATTTATTGTATAATTCTGTTAGCACGATGAAACACGACTGCGTGCGTTTTGTTACGTGATCTTAATGCAATGTCGAGTTATATTGCTTAGCCGTCAATGAGATCGTTACGTGTATAAGGATTGGCTAGTCTTGATCGTTGAAGAGAAATTGACAGAGAAAAAATTCCCGGTGTTTGTGGGCGATTCGTTTTTATTTATTTAAACATGATAACGCCTTTTATCCTCGAAGGGGTAGGCAGAGGTGCACATTATACCACTGTACAATGTAACACCCACTTTTCACTATTTATGTTATGAGTCCCATGTAATAGGGGGTGAGCCTATTGCCATATACCGGGCACAGTTCCAGACTCCGTGCTACTACTAAGATTTTTTTTAAAACCCAGTAATACTTTGCCCGACTCGGGAATCGAACCCGAGACCCCTTGCCCGGCAGTCGCAATGGCGACCACTCGGCCAACGAGGCAGTCATTTTATTTATTTTTTATCTTTATTGTTTATATTGGAACATTCGTGAGACATACAAAATTAATTATTACGTTTTCGGCACACTCAAGTAACTGTAGGAACTCGAGTAGTTTCAAGCCATGCTAGAGGTTCATATTCATGAGCAGCATTCCGGCGCGGCGACTGTCGCGCTGCTACTCTAGTCTAGTCTCATTCAGTGGACGTCTTAGGCTGGTGATGATGAAGTGCCTGGTGCTAAATAAATGATTTTTCTTACTTTCATTCTTATATGTTTTGACGTAAAGGAGGAACAAACAAACAAACATACATACAAAATTTTATCATCATTATCGACACTCTCTTATGCATGAGAAGCGGACGTTTAAATCCTCCGGGTCACCTCGACATATATAAAATGTCGCATTTATAATATTAGTAGATTGTCTATAGGAGTGTAGGTATAACTTTGAAACGAAGTCAGGTAGGAACTTGTTTACCAAACAATGTTGCCATGTAACTTAGATAACAACGCTATTGTTTTCCCATAAAATAGCTAACTAGAAGTACACTGTGTATCAGATTTTAACCATTAATGGCCTAGCATAATAGCTGATACATCAAGCTACTCTCAATCTTAAATAGATTTTCAACCTTTAACACAAAGTCATAAGGTTCAAATTTTAATAAATAAAGTCACAAATAAAGTGTGCTTTGACGTCATCTGTATCTAAAAGGAAAATTTAGTACAAAGTATGCGACGGTATGACTTGATTCTTTAAACAATTCACTGCTGAATTATTATTCTCATCTACATTAGAGGATTTTTTTATCGAATGTACCGCTAAATGAACTGACGGTTCACATGATAGTAAGCAATCGGTGCCGCCCATGGGCACCCGAAACACCAGAGGCCTTACAAATGCGTTACCGGCCTTGTGGCGATTTAATTTAATTTGAGCATTGTTGGGGATCGGGGATTCCGGTAAACTCATCCACACGACGAAACACAACACACGCATTGTTCCACTTCTGTTTTCTGTGAGGCCGTGGTATCGCTCCAGTCGAGCCGGCGCATTCGTGCTGAAGCATGAGCATCTCCCACACTTAAGACAATTTTAAATTAATTAATATTTATTTGCCATAATCTCAGTGCTGAGCAGGGGTAGGAAATCGCAGTTTAAAATGTTCAGGTTTAGTAGAAGACCGTGCAACCCGCGGACTGTCTTTTCATTTGTTTGCTTGGCTCTTATAGCACTAAAGAGAATAGAAGATAGATGTTCCATCTCAAGGTCGACATACGAATTATGTATAGAAATTTATTAAAAATATACTTTCAAATAGAATAAAGCAAGTATCAAAATCGATTGCACCGCGTCATTTACTCTATCGTACATATCATTGTTCAATATGAAAAACTTTGATTAAATACCACGTTGCTTGCTTGAACGAGCATACATTAAGGCCCAAAGCATATAAACTACAAAGGAACATATAACTTAAGTATGCCAAGATAGAGTTTGAATTTCCATATAGAACGTTATAAGTCCAAAGTCAAATATGCGATGGTAGAATTTCAATTCTGTTTGTACAGTTTTACGACACATTTTTGTTTATTACGTATAATTTTGTTCTTGAGCATTATGTTTTCATAACTTTAATGAATTCTTTTTGGGACAATAATGGGAACGGAGATGTTTCTATTCGATAATTGTGAGATTTTGTTTCAAATTTTCTTCTTTCATCCTGTCCATAGTATCATGTGGCTGAGAGATTTGATCTCATAATATTACTTGGTTATTATTTTTGCTCGTTCTTCGTCATAAGCAATTACATTTGAAATGAGCACCTAGCTTCACTGGTGCATTACTGACGAATTATTCTATTTTATCGTTTTAAAGTGCCTGTAAGTGGATTAATTGTAATAAATATTTTGGGATAACAAATTATTAGTACTAACACAGACTGCAGTTTAGTGAACATCTCTTTTGAACATCGTGAATAAGTGAAAATTGGTGCATGCATTAATAGATTAAAGTTCATATCACTGAACCGGCAGGGCTCTAACCCAGCTATTAACTTGTCATTTAAATGTGAACTTTAAATCGAATGTCGTATAGTATGTTTCATAACGTTAATATAAATAAGGTGTAAGCGCACCGCCCGTGCGCCGACAGCGCGCCTATAACCTTTTTGTATTGTTTACAAAACAAAAAACGTTGTACCGGAGCCGTGTCGGAACCGTGCCGGTGCTGTGCTTGTTAAGTGTATTATGACCTTAAACTGTCAAACACCAAGCGGTCACCGGTGACCGCAACCTATTGTTCTATAATTGTGTCTACAAAACCGGTACTCGACGAGTTTTAAACTGTCAAACACCAAGCGGTCACCGGTGACCGCAACCTATTGTTCTATAATTGTGTCTATAATGACGGTGCTCGACGAGTAGTTTCAAAAAAGTACTATGTAGTTCAGTAATTTGGTAGTTTTACCTAGTATATTTTCCAGGAGTTTTGAAAATCGGCAATTTTATAGATTTTGATTTGTTCTTTTGGATTTCCATTTTTCACCTATCTACGTGCGCCCCTCGCGCCGCCGTCTTGGAAGAATGGCGCGAAAAATTGTTTTTTTTTACAATATCTATTTTCCTGTGCATTTTACGTAGTACTGTGTAACCCTCATATTTCCTACTTAATAGGGAATATCTAAATAGAATAATAAGTTTTTTTTTTGGTTGGCAACATTTCACGCATATACTTCACACACACATTCAAAATATGTTCATGCAGTCCACTCATCTAGAAAATTAGAAAGAAAGGGTGTGCAATAAATATCCATTGAGTAAAGACGTATTATAAAGTTTTATTTCACCAAATAAGCTGATATAGAGTGAAACAAGTGAAACACTTTCGTAGTAAACAGGGAATGTAAATCAAAAATCTAATTAGTCAGTTTCCGTCAGTTAGATAATGAAGACACGTATTTTTTTTATTTTCTCGTATAAAGTTACAATACTTAGATGAAATAGAGTTAAGTTTAGGACTTAGGCAACTACCCTATTATCGCTCTATATGGGATGTTATGTTTTACAAAGTTGTCAGTACCTACTACATATTGTGTATTTTGGAAAAGTGTAACATTTAGCAATAGAATCACTTCCTGTTACAATTCATTAGGGCTTATAACATAATATTATGTAAGAGCGAGTACTATAATACCTAAGCGAGGTACTTCCTCTTGAATGAATATCGTAGTTCATTGTTATATTGCAAAATATTATGAAAACTATGTCCTTAATACGCGTTCTGTCTGATTCGACTTTTCAGTGACGACCCTGTCGTTCAGGAGTTGTGTGCGTAAAAACATTTCAAAGATTAATTTTTATTAAGTTAGCTAATTTCTTTTTTTTTTGTTTAAGATATTTTGGATCGATTAAAGGGAAATTTGTAAATAATTTGTAACTTGCGGCCGTCTTCAACATGAAATAAGGTACATTTAAACTGGATAAAGCAGGCATTGGACAAAAAATTTATGTTCATCGCTAATTTATGACCTTACAGAAAATTATATGTGATTTTTTAAAGGTATGGTAGCAAATGGGCAAGTAGAACACCTGATTTAAAGATTGAGGGTTTTGGGGGTATGGGGAGGGGGGGCAACTTTTGACTTGGACCTTTCGATATTAATTTACCAATTTCCTCCCATTCCAGGTTTGCTCAGAAAGTAGTGCAAGCGAATCTTCCCTTGAATCGTCGAGCGGTTATGGAAGCCAGGGCGCCTTCGCAGCCGAAGACCACGCCATACAACACCAAGTCCAACACGCTGACGGTAAGCTATTTTGAACCTTATATCTGTAGTACAAATGTTGTAATAGCAAGCAACGTTCTGTTAGTGTGTTCGTGTGCAAGCTATTTGTTGTCTTATGTGTGCAGTGTAGGTTTTAGTTTTGTATAGCTATGGAATGCTTTAGAGTGGTGTTGTTGTTCTAATGTTGATTAAACGAACTTAAAGTGTTAGGACCATATTTCACCAGGCACCATATCAGCGCAACCAGTCGCCGCTACTAACAAATGTATAAGCTGGTAGCGCAACCAAGCCGACACCAGTTGAGTAACTCTATAGAGCTGTATTTATTTTTTTGGTAGCGGGGATAGGTTGCGCGACCATAATATCCCAGTAAAATATAGGACTACATTTATTGATAGATGAAAACTGATGATGGAGGATGGGACTGCTGAGTCCGAGGGTCTTGTTCTCGGATTAAACGGTTAAGGTAACTCATCCTGACCCTAAAATCGACCCCACAATCATGTGCCTCAGTAGCTGTTTTATGAAACTTCAATTTTACAATATTAATTAACAATTCAATTTTGTCAACGCACCTGTGACTCCTCTGGTATTGTGGGTGTTCATGGGCGGCGCTGATCGCTTACCATCAGGTGATTCGCCTGCTCGTTTGCCTCCTATTCCATAAAAAAAAACAATACCACTCGCTCTAATGTATTCATTCCTTAGATAGAGCATTGTTGTGTGGTTGTAGTCTTTATGTCTATATACATAAGATCTATACTCAATTGGCAATGTTCAGTGTGAATTTTGTTTGTTAGATGTTTGTCTGTTTTTGTTGCTAGTTGTATTTTGTGTTTTCTTTTTGTTAATATAAAGTCTTTTTTAGTTTTGAACAAAACTGTCAAATATACATTGCAAAAATACATTATTAAATGAATT